GGCGGGGGGGCGGCGGTCCTGCCCCCTTTCTGCCCGGCTGCGCTCGGCTGCGGGGCGAGGAAGCAGCCGCGCTGCCTGAGCTGCTCTTCCCCTTCACCTGCCGCATGTGCGGGCTGGTGCTGGACGACGGCTTCGCGCAGGATGAGGGCCTGGCTGAGCAGGTCTGTGGGCGCTGCAGCCTGGCGGTGCTGGGCACCGAGCCGGGCGCCAGCCCCCGCAAAGGCACCGGGGACAAGGGCTTCGCCTGCAGCCTCTGCCCCTTCGTCACCCACTACCCCAACCACTTGGCGCGGCACATGAAGACGCACAGTGGGGAGAAGCCCTTCGTCTGCCCGCTCTGCCCCTATGCCTCTGCCCACCTTGACAACCTGAAGCGGCACCAGCGAGTGCACACAGGCGAGAAGCCCTACAAGTGCCAGCTCTGCGACTATGCCTGCGGCAACCTGGCCAACCTCAAGCGTCACGGGCGCATCCACTCGGGCGACAAGCCCTTCCAGTGCAGCCTCTGCAGCTACAGCTGCAACCAGAGCATGAACCTGAAGCGGCACATGCTGCGGCACACGGGCGAGAAGCCCTTCCAGTGCCAGAACTGCTCCTACACCACTGGCCACTGGGACAACTACAAGCGTCACCAGAAGATCCATGGCCACGCGGCCGAGAGCTGGGTGAACCCGCGCAATGCCAAAGCCCTCTTGGCCCCTCCAGCTGTGGACACAGCCCTGCCCTGAGACAGCACTTAGCCCAGCAGTGGGGGTGACCAACCCTGTGCTGGGCCGGGGGTGCCTCAGCCCTGGGGCACCTCCGCCACGGCTCCTGCCCTCCCTGGGGGAGGGACGGGCAGCATACTCCACAGGGGGCTCAGGGCTGCCTTATGCAGGGCCCACCAGGGTCTCCAGCAGCCCTATCCTGCCCACACAGGGCAAAGCCAGGACTGGTGGCTCAGTTGCCAGGCTCTGGCCCCTGCCCCAGCAGCAGTGGGGCCAGCCCTGCCTGTTCCTGCCTGTCAGAGCCTTCCTCTGCTGGAGTTTTGGGAAAAAGGGGGGAGGGGGAAACAGGACTGGTTCCATGGCTACTGCCATGCCAGTCAGTGTAATTTATATTGTGTATAAAAGCATTAAACAGTCGGTTTTGTTATCTGCTATTCTCCCTGGGGGACTTGTTCTGCTTCAGGTGAGGACAGCATGGGGCTGGCAAGGTGTGTGGGGAGGGGAGGGACAGTGGCCACCCGCCAACAGACAACCCGGTACCAATCAGGATCCTTTTTAATCATCATTGCAGTGTGTAAACATTGGTTACTGTCCATTAATGCTCTGGTCGGTCTGAGCAGCAGGAGATACGTGGTTACAAGCCTAGATTACGCTGGAGTCTATGAGCGGGTTAGAGAGGGGCCCTGCACAGAGCCCCCTGGAGACCGTTTACTGCGGTCTGTCTCTGAGCAGAAACCTAAACGCTAATTTGGCATTATGGAGCCTCAGGAGGGTGGCTCGGTGCCACTGGCCAGCTGCGCCAGCCCTACAGGGCTGCTGGGCTCGCAGGCGGGGCCCTCCCAGCTGGGGAAGGGGCAGCTCTGTCCCCTGTGCTGGGCCAGGCCCCAGGCTGTGGCTCCAGGGCTCTGTTGCGCCAGTGCAGCCCCAGGAACAAGCCCCTCTCCCAGCTGGAGCCAGCAGCAGGAGTTCAGCTGCCCCTGCCCTAAAGGCAACGGTGGGCTGAGGGCAAGTTCCCCAGCCCATGGGGAGCAGGGGGAGGTGGATGTAGCAGGTGAGAGGCACGTTGATTGCAACCTGTCTGCAGGTCGTACATTCCTCAGCAAAGGCCCTGGGTGCTGCCCTGGGATGGGGGGGACACTACAGGTCTTCATCGCCGATGCCCTCAAAGGCATAATTGCCATGGAAGTTGTTAGCCCCCACGTCGTTGGCAGAGCTGGAGTGGCTGATCCCACGCAGGCTGACAGAGGTGAGCTTGCTCTGTGGAAAGGGCACATGTTAGGGAGGACCCCTGCTTCTCCCAGCTCACTCAGGGGGTGACAGTGACACTACAGCCTCAGGAGGGTGGCTCGGTGCCACTGGCCAGCTGCGCCAGCCCTACAGGGCTGCTGGGCTCGCAGGCGGGGCCCTCCCAGCTGGGGAAGGGGCAGCTCTGTCCCCTGTGCTGGGCCAGGCCCCAGGCTGTGGCTCCAGGGCTCGGTTGCGCCAGTGCAGCCCCAGGAACAAGCCCCTCTCCCAGCTGGAGCCAGCAGCAGGAGTTCAGCTGCCCCTGCCCTAAAGGCAACGGTGGGCTGAGGGCAAGTTCCCCAGCCCATGGGGAGCAGGGGGAGGTGGATGTAGCAGGTGAGAGGCACGTTGATTGCAACCTGTCTGCAGGTCGTACATTCCTCAGCAAAGGCCCTGGGTGCTGCCCTGGGATGGGGGGGACACTACAGGTCTTCATCGCCGATGCCCTCAAAGGCATAATTGCCATGGAAGTTGTTAGCCCCCACGTCGTTGGCAGAGCTGGAGTGGCTGATCCCACGCAGGCTGACAGAGGTGAGCTTGCTCTGTGGAAAGGGCACATGTTAGGGAGGACCCCTGCTTCTCCCAGCTCACTCAGGGGGTGACAGTGACACTACACCCGTACACAACTCACCGAGAGTTTCGCCATCGGCTCCCGGGAGGCATCAGGTGAGTCCTGTGGGGATGGCACGGTCAGGGAATGGACGTGGTCAGGGACACAGTCATGGACACACCACCCACCCTTCTCAGCGCTTGCCAGCCCTCAGCCACCGCTCACCCTCCCAGGGTAAGACCAGGTCACCCTCCCTCCCCTTCCTAGGTAGTTTGGCTGCAACACCAATTCCCAGGACTATGGCTGTGGTGCACTGCAGCCCTGCAGTCCTCTGGGATTGCCCCAGCCCTTCCAAGGAGAGAGTGGCCCCTCTGGGGTGGTGGGTTCTGGTCTCTGGCAGGCAGCAGAGCCCATGGGCACATTCCCCTCCATGCAGGGTCCTACTCACCAGCAGTGGGGGTGACTTCACAGCTTGCTGGCTGTCCGAGCGTCGCAGAGCCCCATTTGCCCGCCGGCGAAACATCTGCAGGGGAGGAGCTCAGCTGAGCCACAGGTGGCTCCAGTGGTTAAGACAGCCCCTGGGGATCCGTCAGCTGGCCCTGTCCTGAGGAGAGCATGCAGGGCCCAGCCTAGACCCCAGGGAGTCACAGAGGCAGGAAGGGATCCCATCCCAGAGCCAACATCCAGCTGCAAACCTCACCTTGCGGATGCTGCCTCCAGACTTTTTCACCATCAGCTCGTCCACCATGGACTGCAGGCAGATGCTCAGCATGATGGCCTGCAATGGAGAGGTCTCAGAAGGCTCCAAGCACCCACAGCCTTCCCACCGTGCCATGCTGAACCCAGACCAGCCCTCCCTGCACCCACCAACCTTGTCCTACCTGTGGGCTGGTGATGGTGACCCATTGCAGCCGGTCCTTGCTCATTAGATACTCGAAAGCCAACTCCAGCTTCACCTCGGACTTCCCCGGGCTGCTCCCCGAGGAGCCATTGCCCATTGGCACCTGCAAGGGCACAGGCTGAGGCTGGGAGCATCCTGAGGAAATACAGCCAGCTTCCCAGGGCCCCGTGCTAAGACCAGTCCCCAGCCAGGTGTAGGACACCAATTCCCACTGGCCTTCACAGAATCATGGAATGGTTCAGGTTGGAAGGGATCTCCAAAGGCCATCTAGTCCAACCCCTCGGCAGTGAGCAGGGACATCTTCAGCTACATCAGGTTGGTCAGAGCCTAGGATGTTTCCAGAGATGAAACATCCACCACTGCTCTGGGAAACCTCTTTTTTCCTTACATCTAGGCTGAATCTGTCCTCTTTCCGTTTAAAGCCATTCCACCTCATCCTGTCACTCCCTGATCTTGTCAAAAGTCCCTCCCCAGCTTTTCTGGAGCCCCTCCTGGAAGGTCTCCCCAGAGCCTTCTCTTCTCCAGGCTGAACAACCCCAGCTCTCTCAGCCTGTCTCCAGAGCAGAGCTGCTCCAGCCCCCGCATCATCTCTGTGGCCTGATCTGCACTCACTCCAACAGCTTCATGTTCTTCTTGTGCTGGGGACCCCAGAGCTGGACCCAGCACTGCAGGGGGGTCTTAACAGAGCAGAGCAAAAGGGCACCCACCAGGTCCCCTGGCTGAGCAGGGACAGAGCCCCTCAAATGTCCTCACACCAGTGACCCCCTCAGCCCCAAAGCATGACTTGGACCCTCTCTGGGTCAGCTGGGCTGGAAGCAGGTGGCAAAGTCAGCACCTGCGCTGGGGAGAGCTGCCAGCCCAGCCCAGTGCCACCGGGTCCCGCCAGCCCCACGGAGCAAGTGGCACTCACCGAGGATGTGACCCGCCAGCACCGCATGCGCGTGACCTTGAAGCTGCCCTCCTTGATCTGCTCGCTCGGCAGCCGCACCTGGAAGTTGAGCTCGTTGTTGCCAGCGCTGACGACGACGTGGCAGCCCTTCTCGGGGAAGTCGGTGACACACGGGTCGAACTTGAGATACCCGTAGTACTTCAGGGTCTGTGCCAGGCGGATGAACTGCGGGCAGAGCCAGGGGAGCTCAGCACCGAGGGCCAGGAACAGGCAACTAGCTCAGCACAGCACATCCACCTGCAGGGCTGGTCTGGTGTGGGGACTGCACCAGTCACAGCATCGTTCCCTCCCCTACCTCCTTCTTGGAGACTTTTTCCTGCAGGGACTTCAGCTGCCGGTGCTGCTCCTTGTTGACAAGGATCCATCCATGCTCAATGTCTGACACCGTCTACCAAGATGCAGAGGACGGTGAGCAGCTGGGCCCAGGGCCACCCAAGACCCTCCACAGCCACAGTCCCTCCTTGCTTAGTTGGACCACACCAACCCTCACCTGTGCATACAGCAGGTTCAGCCCCACGTGATGCTCCATCACATCATCGTCATAGGAGGAGTCCCAGTAGCTAGAAGGGAACTGCAAGGGTCAACCTCTTCCCTAGCTCCAGAGGGCCATGGACAAACACCCCCCACACTGGGACAAGGCACTGTGGCCAGCCCCCCACAGAAGCCGTAGGTTGCCATGGCCAACTCCCCCTCTCAGAGGCAGGAAGGGCTCTGGGAAAGCGGGAACGGGGGCCAAGCCCAGCAGAGGAACCTGGTCCCCAGTGTCATGGGCAGGGACACCCAGGTGTGTTCCCAGGGACAAAGAACCCCACAGGCAGTGATAGCAGGAGGGCTGGGGACCCCCAGACACCCCACCACCAGTCCCACAGCTGCTGACCCTCCAGCCGTGCCACCGACCTCTTGCGCAGGATGATCCTGAACTCAGGGTTGTGCAGGCTGGTGACCGACACGTACGGCAGCTCAAACTCCTGCAGCTTCCGCACGACTGCAGGGAAACAGCAGCTCAACAGCAGCCTGGGGCAGGGGAGCCCACCAGACTCACCCCCCAACAGCCAGGGCACCCCAGGAGAGCCCACTGGACCCCCTGACAGCCCAGGTGAGGTCGCTGGATGCCCCCACCCCGGGAAGGGCAATGGAGTCCAGGCACACAGCTCTCGCCCAGGGCAGGGTGTGGGGCCCATGTCCCACTGCAGCCCTCCAGGGGCTCCAGCATGCTCTACTCACAGGAGAAAGCTCCATCCTTGGTCTCTCTCACCAGGAAGAGGCTGAAGTAGCCAACCAGGTCATCTGGCAGATCCAGCTTGGAAGCCACAGCCTGGGAGCAAGAGCAGGAGGTCACCACTTCCACATCCTTACCCCACGGCAGGATCCAGCCGGCATGTGGGAGGGCAGCACCTCTGCTGCACTGGGGGCCAGGGTGAGGGGACAAGTAGGACCTAGGGGACCACTGCCACCATGAAACATTTGGGGCCAGCTGGCCATTAGTCTGGGGCCAGAGAGGGACAGGAGCACACTGGCCCACCCTTTCCAGCTCCACCATTCTTCTGCCCCCAATGACAGCCCTGCTCTGGGGTGGGGACATCATGAGGAATGACTGAGGGAACTCCTGCATGTGTGAGAAACCACAGAACCCAGAAGGAGGAGCTGGTCCTGCCCAGAACAAGAGCTTCAGCACCTCAAGGACATCTTCTGTCTGGTCCGAGGTAAGGATGGTGACCTCGACCTTCTGGCCATTAGAGAGCATCACTTCCAGCATGACCTCCTTTGTGGGTATCTGCTGTGTCTCCTGCAGGAGAAAAAGAGGATTTGACACCCTGGATCCTTCACCACTGACCACCCTCAGACGGCCTCATGGTCTGAGGGCCCTGGCTGTCAGCACTCATCCTGCGCCAGCAGCCCCAGCAGCCCCCCCACCACATC